TCACGTCCCACGCCGAGAAAACCTTCCCCACTCACTCTCTCCCCACCCTCTACCAACACAGCCAGAGTCCAAGAATGTACTTGAACTGAGGGTCCCAGCCTGTCCACTCGGGGGTGGGTGGTCTCTCTAAACAGCCCTGATGTCACTCCCTGGACCCCCCAGGGGAGGAGGCAGACACGTCCTCATTCTGAGTTCCTGTTTTCCAAAATGGAAAAGCCACCTACCCCCTTGAAGACCTTCCCCTACACGTGTCCCTGTGCACGTGCGTCCCCTTGGTGGGGCCCTTGAGGAGGGAGTACAAGGAGGGGCTCACGTGGGGGCCTCGTGGCCTTACCTCGGTCTGTGGGAGATTCAGGAGGAATCGGCTCTTGTCTGGCCTCACGCCCTTTGCCCAACCCACACTCCCTCCTCCAGGGTGTCCATGTCGCGGGCAGAACACGTTAAAAAAGACAGAAAGCCATCCCACAGCCGGGGTCTGGGCAGAAGGGCCACAGCACGCGCCAGCCGCTGCCTGGCAGGGGCTTAAGTTTCGTGTGAGGACGGGCGCTCTCTGCCTTTCACACATTTAATAGCATCATTGGGGCCCCCAGGAACTTTCTCAGTGCAGAGTTCTGAGGAAAGTTTCAGCACACAGAAAACGCACCCAGCCCACAAATGCACGGACCACGTGGGTATATCCCCCCCGCCCCCAAATCAAGTGGAAGGCAAGCTCCACGGTGCCCTGAGCCCCTGCCAGGCGCTCTGCTGGGTGCTTGTAAAATGCAAGCTCATTTACTCTTCATTATCGCTTTATCTGGTCTATTTTATCCCCATTTTACAGACGAGAAAAATGGGGCTCAGTTCCATCACTCAGAAAAGGGCGAAGGGCACGTGAAGCCGGTTGATCGGACCCTCTCAACCTGCCTGCAGACCCAGCCGGGCCTGACAAAGCACCAGGCCCGGCAAGCCCTCTGCCTTCGAGAGGGCTAAACGTTCTGGCCAAACTGGTCTGGTTTCCATGACGTTGGCTTTTCGAGATCCTGCAGCTTCTGTTTCTCTGACACTCCTCCCTCGCGAGCCTTCCTCCTCCCTTTCGTGTCGCCTCCTGGCAGGAAAGCCAAGTCCCCTGGAACCAGCGCCACTCCGCTGAGCCGAGGGGCAAGGGCACCACAATGTTTGCGGGCAGGTGTGGGGACCAGCCTATTTTGATTCTGCGATAGACATTTTAGGAACAGGGTTGTTCGGAATCCTACCTATTGCGTATTTCAGACATTTAGTCAAGGGAGTCGGTGAAATTTTATGATCTAGATGATTTTAGCTACAGCTGGAAACATCTATGATGTCATACTTTTTCAGGCACTCAAAACTTGCTTATATGCCAGTGACGTCTGCGGTGTGAGAGAACCTGGGCCGGGGAGGAGTCGAGAACAACGGGCACAAGCCTGGGGCCTCTCAACTTCAGGACTTCTGACATTTGGGGAAGAATGATTCTCTATTGTGGCAGCGGGGGGCGGGGGGGGGGGCTCTCCTGTGCATTGTAGGATGTTTAGCAACATCCCTGGCTTCCACCCACTAAATATCAAAAGCATCCTTCCCCCAGTTGGGACAAACCAAAACTGTCTCCAGGCACTGCCGAATGTCCCGCAGGGAAGCAACATCATCCCCAGATGAGAACCACGGTTGAACTGTCTGATCAGCAAGTCTGGTCTAGATAAACCACACCTGAAGGCACCACCTCCCTCCCCTCTGTTTTCTGAACACCACAACCCTTGAGAACTGTGCGTCGCAGAGCTGATGGCCGCTGGCTTGGGAAGGGGGTGGAAGTGAGGGCAAGTCAGGGAGCAGAAGGAATAGAAGAAGCAAGAAAAGACCAAGAAAAAGCTTTTAGAAATAAGAAAGGTTTATTTAGCAAAAGCCACTAGACTAGTGACGACATCCAGGGAGTAAGTGCACTTTACATGAACAGATTCTTGTCCCAGAGAGTTGAACCAACAGAGTTAATGACACAACAGTTTCAGAAGTAGAGGCTCGGGGTCGGTGGGGTAAGAGGAGGCGGTCAGGCAAAGAGGAAATCAAAGGAACCCAAGTCATGAACAGAAGCCACGGGGAGAAGGGAAGCTACGAAGGGGCTTCACAGAGAGCGTTGATACAAGCAGGGATATAAGGAATATCATTTTCATCCCAATATGCAGTCCGTTCTGCGCAGAGAAATTCTTTGCTGGCTCTGCACCTGGGAGAGCCTCACGTGCCCAGGAGTCTGCCGGCACGTGGGGGGAGGCTGAGGCAGGCCCCCCCCCCCCCGGTGTCCACTTGTCCTCTATACAGGGCAGAGCAGAAGGATGAAAAAGGAGGAGGGCAGGAGCTGAGTGAGCAGAGCAAGAAGCAAGGAAGGGAGGAGGAGGAGGGTGTCATCGCTGGGAAATCAGTTCTGCGATGTTCTCTTTCCTGCCCAGTGGCTGGTGACCCGTCAAGGCCCCTCGATCCATCCTGTCCCCCATCTTCACACCCTGGTGTGCGCTGCTCTGGGTCACACCGGGGACGATGCCGACATGCAAACCAGCGCTCCAGGGAAGGCCCCCTCTGGGGGAAGGCTGGGGCTGGGGCAGCTGGAAACCACTCTGGAGCATCTGACGGCAAGGGTCCTGGATGGGTCCAGAGTCAGGGGTACAGACAACTAGTCTCTTCAAATTCCTTAACCTCTCCTAAACTCCCTTCTTTCCCTCTGCAAGCTTCTCTAGACCCTTCAGAAACTATTTCCCACCCCAGCCCTCCCTCTCCTGCCACATTCCACAAACCCAATCCACTGGCCCCTGGCTTCACTCTCAGCTCCTGCTTACACACAGCGGGCCTCGAGAAGCCAGACGTTCCGCTCCCCCGAACACTCAAGAAGATCCTACCGCTCTGAGAGGCCGCACCCAGGTGAGGGTCTGGGAAGCCGGCTAGGCTCAGCCACACCGGATTCCTGACATCCCTCCCTCAGTCTGGGGCTCTCACCTTCCTGGTTCTTCCTTGTGTATCTGGACCTACTTCCATCCAATGGTGGATCAGAAAAGACAGCAAAATAAACAGAACCACCCCTCTCCAACTAAATACATGTTAGGAAAACAACACAACTCTGCTGTCGTTCAAACGCCCTGAAGATTCACATTCTCTTCTCTCCCGTCACTTCTTGCACGCCCACACACACGTACTCACCTTCCCTCACACGGTATACAAGCCTGTACGTACATGCACGCGCACACATCCGCTCACACCCCACCCCGTTTCTGCCGATACCCTGGTGCACCAGCAAATGTTACACCATAAAGCTACGTGTATTTCCTTTCATTTGGACTTTCTAGTCTAGAAGAAACCCAGCTGTTTAAGAAAAGGGCTACGCTTTCATTTATATAAATTTTAAAGCAAAGTCGGGGTTGAAGAACTCTGTTTTTTGGGTAACCCCATCCTTAGCAAGGAATCCTCAAAGAATACTGCAGTCTGGGTCTGTCGCTTGTTGTCCCGGATAAAGACTTATTTCCCCGAACACAGGACCTAGCAATGGCTCAGCTCTCTCTCAAGGCATTTCTAAATCTGCTAACAGTCACTCACGGCCTGACTGTCGCAAAGGGAGCGTGGCCTCCCTGCTGCGGTCAGCCCGCCGGACCGGGTGGGAATCTCTAGACAAGGCCTGGATGGTCAAGGACAGGAGATGTGCTCGAGGCATGCACCCACACAGACGGGTCAAGGGGGGACAGGGCTGTGGTCCCTGACTGAAGTGGCAGTGATTCTGAAGAGTGGAAAGAAATAGTCTCAGCTACCCGCTCGTTTGGTTATTTCTGCAGTAAAAACTAACCAATACCCCAGTGGAGGGGACGGGTTGAGAGGTAAGGCTGGGGGCTCGGGGCCTCTGAGGCTCTCTCAGAGGGGAGGGTGCTACGCAAGCCTCGGCCAGCACGGCCCCTGAGGCAGGACACGGAGGAGAGAAGTGGGCAGCTTCCCAGCATCCAGGCAGAGGGGCTGGGCTGGCAGGCAGGAAGGGGGGCAGGGCTCCCACCCTGAGGAATCCAACCTATATCCTCTGTGGCCCCTTTCCCTGCACGGGCCCGACCGACGTTCAAATCCCAGTCTCCCTCGGAAGCTGGAGAAAATGGCCAGATTCAAGTCATCCGAAAGCTTACCCGATGTGACACATCCCACTTCCACGCTCACACTGAAAGCACCGGCCGGTCCCTCACCGCCCAGAGCACTCAACATCTACCATCTCCACAACTGCCTAGAGAAGGAATTCCTTCCATAAGGTCAGGAGTTAGGCAACTGGTAGCATCCTGGATATCCAGACAGACGGGACCTGAGCCGGTACCTGATGCTTTTCCTTCGCCGTGGGGACCACGAGATGGGGTGGGAGGGGGTGACCCGGGCACCCCGGGCCAGGACGGAGCAGAGGAGCCTGATGAAGCAGCCCGCACACAGCAGGTCCTCGGGCAGCCTGGTGGTCCCCACGAAGGACCCTCTCGGAAAGCGACGGGCTCTGGAGGGCCCTGCCCTCCCTCCCAAGTCTCACGTGGGAGAGAAGGGCCCATTCTCCTCTGGGAGTCCCAATGCTCCCCCTTCGTACCCTCCAAGGCAATAATCCCTTCCTGAAACCGCAGGCTCTCCGGGGCCCCTGGCTGGAGCCAGCGTCGCTCGTCCTCGGGGTGCTCACCGCCCTCCGCCGCGCAGGCATCCTCGGCGGCGCGCCCGGCCCGCGCCCCTCCGGCCCCCGCCCCCCCGCGCCCCTCCGGCCCCTGCGCCCGGCCCGCCCTACACGGCGATCTCATCGTCCAGGCCGTCGCCCAGCTCCTGCCTCGGCAGGACGTTCAGCAGGCGTGGCAGCTCCTCCTGGGACCACGAGTCGCGCTCCTCGCTCTCGTCCGTGTTGGACTCGTACTCCGAGGCGATGCCCGACTCGCGGAACTTGAGGAGCTCCAGGCCGCCCAGCAGCGGGCCCGCGGGCGGCGGCAGGAAGCGGAAGCACTCCAGCTTCACCAGGCAGTCGCGCCTACCTAGGGGGCTGCCGGCGGGGTGGGCCAGCTCGGCCGGGCCCGCACCCGGGGGCGGCGAGGGCAGGTCCTCCGGCTGCGGGGTGGTGGGGTCGCAGAGCACGGGCAGACCTCCGGAGCGGAAGGTGATCTCCAGCAAGCTGTCCTGGGAGCCCACTGGAGGGGGGACAAGAGCAACAGGAGGCCGGGTCAGCGCGGCGGGGGCACACAAGCTGGGTCCAAACCTGGGTCCAAACCGAGAGGGCCAGAGCAGGGTCTCCGTAAACAGACAGAAGCCCAGAGAGGCTTCCAGCGGTGAAATGCAGTGGCTGTTCCCAATCTATGCCTTGTGCTACTTTAGCAAGAGCCGCAGCCCTGCCCAGACCTACTGATCATGACCTCTACAGGTTGGACTTGGGAATAGTCTTTTTTTTTTTTTTTTAAAGATTTTATGTATTTATTTGACAGAGAGAGACACAGCGAGAGAGGGAACACAAGCAGGGGGAGTGGGAGAGGGAAAAGTAGGCTTCCCGCCGAGCAGGGAGCCTGACACAGGGCTCGAACCCAGGACCCTGGGATCACGACTCGAGCCGAAGGCAGATGCCCAATGACTGAGCCACCCAGGTGCCCCAAATATTCATTTTTTTAAAAATAAAGCTATAGGGGATAGTCTGAGGGAACTACTGGTCTCATAGGAAATACATTGGTTTTGCAATCAGACCCGGGAATCTCGGCTCCACACCTTGCTGGTCCTGTAACCCTGAGCCAGTGACTTCACCTATTGGAGTCTGTCCCGTGTACAAAATGGGCATAACAACATCTACGACTACAGAGATTAGATGACATCATGTCTGTGAAACTATCACAGTTCCTGGCACGGTCGATGGCCAGTGGCTACGTGACTGGCACTTATAGGCCACAGATCAGCACGAGGAAGGCCTGGAGATGTGCTGTCTTCTAGACTCCCAGGCCAGCCCAGAGGCGGCTGGGCATCTCAGGCCGGGCGCCAGGCCACCTGTGCCATGAACCAGGACCGCTATCCAGCCAGTTCTTTTCTGCCTTATCCACAGAGTAGACACCTGCTACCAGCATGTTCTATGCTACAGCGCGGGGGAGGGTAAACTCCCGTACAGTGTGAAGTCTCCCACCGAGCTCCCAGACAACGTGACACACACGACAGGTGCTCAGTATATTTCAACTGGAAAAGCCCACGAAGAAAGAAACAGACTGCCTTAGGACGTGGAGTGTCTGAGCCCCTCTCGAGAGGAGCCTGGATAAACATGTGGCAGTGACTCCCAGGGACATTCAAGGTCAAGTCTGGACGCTGGACTAGAAGGAGCCAAGATCCTCTCTGACTCTGCCGTTTCATAATTCCATGAAGTGTACAGACGGGACAAACAGAGCCGCCTCTGTTTTCTGCTAGAACACCAGGGCAGGGCAGGGGTCTAAGAAAATCCCACCAAAAGCTTCAGGGAAAAGAATGGGCGTTTTCCAGCGCTTCCACGGAGGGAGGCGAGGCTGGGCAGGGCCCCCACTTACTAGCATTCTGTCCTGACAGCTTCAGCTCCAGCTCCTGCACCTGCCTGACCAGCAGAGACACATGCTGGAGCATGTCCTTGTTCTGCAGCAGGAGCTGGTGCACGCGGGCCTGAGCCTCCAGCCGCGCGGCCGCTTCAGCAGCCAGCTGGTCCTTCAGCAGGTGAACCTGCAGAGACAAGGTGGAGAAGACAGGACAGAGAGGAGAGAGGGACATGAATACACCCAAGAGTCACCAGGGTTCGGCTAGGACCGGAGACACCTGCCATGTTCAACTCAAGATAAGGAAGCCCTTCCAGGGCAAAGTGGGCACCTGGGCTTGGAATTCGGAGAAGTAGCCACAAGAAGCTGGGTCGCTGGCCCTGGGCGTCTCTCTGTATGTCCTGAGTGAGGGCCGCAGTATGTCGCTCACCGACCACTCAGGGCCCAGCACCCAGAGCGAGAGGTGCGAAAGAGCCGAGCCTCAGCCCCTGCACCCCAGCCCTGTCAGGAGAGCTCCTTGACAGCTAACGTGTTCCCGCCACATGGAGGGAGGAATTTTTTTTTCTCATCATATCTTTTAAGAGAGAAACAGAAACGGATATGCGGACCCATTAGCTAAGAAGAGTGTCACGGCAACCCCCGACGTGGCCTTTCCTCTCCCCTTCCTCGTGCCCGCACGTAATGGGAAGCGGGAAGCCCCACAGAGGCCCTTCACTCTCGAGGGGGTCATAATGAAGTCTGTCCTATCACCTCTGGGCGTGCCTGACCGTCCATCCCCTTTTCGTTTCCCGTGGCACCTAGGACGGTGCTTTATACGTGCTAGGGGCCGAACGTTTGCTGACTGGTTCATAGCAGGGCCTCCTCCCACAAGCCGGGAAGGGTAGCAGCAAACAGTTTACAGAGCCACCGTCTGTGGGAGGAGGGGGACCCTCATTAACTGTCTCTCACGGGGGGCGGGGGTGGCAGCCGGCAACATGGCACCCAGCGTGCTCGGGGCCAGGGCGGGGGGGGGGTTCTGTTCTTGGTGCATAAGCGGGTAGAGAGAAAAACACAGCAGGAGGTTGGGGGGGTGATTGTATCAGGAGCCTGGCTTGAGGAAACTGAGTCACAAGGCAACAATCATGTTCACGCCCATGCGATTCTTGCACTAAGTGGTAGATAAGGGGGTCTCTGTGGAGGGTTTCGGAAGGTCCCTGAAGAAAGGGAGCTAATGAATTTGGCCTGGACCAAGGCAGCTTGTGGGAAAGAGGCTTCCTTGGACCAAAAATACGGTGTGGACAAAGGCAGAGGCAGGATGACTGGGGTGAGTCAGCTGGAGGCTGGGAGAGGAGGGAGGAAGGAGAGGGGACGAAGAGCTAGCTGACTCTCTGGTTCAGACAACAAATGCTCTGGATTTCTGAAGAGCAGTTTGCTCCGAAGAGATGCACATTTTACCAGGGAGTAAAGGACGGCATCCACCCCATGGTCTGGTCAAGCTCAGCCCAGGGACCTGCCAAGCCCAGCGTCTGCCCCTTGCAGCTGGATGCGGCCACTGCTTCCCTCCTGGCAGATTTGAGAACCTGACCTTGCAGTTGGCTCTGCTTCTAGGTGGGAGCCACTAATGAGATTAGTTGCCACTTTCCATTAGTGGTTCCTAAGGTTGGGCCTTTCGTGCCCCAGGGGAAGGATGCCTAAGGAATCTAAAGTAAATCCGTCCTCCGTGAGGTGCTGCTAAGGACACAACTGACATTTTGGTTTAGAAATCAGCCTCATTTGCTGCCTCATATCAACTAAGGAAAGATCTAGAGAGCGATGAGAAGAGGGAAAGAAGCCACAATAATATTTTAATCTGGGTATCAGATGGTGGGTGGCTGTTAAGCCTTTATCTTCTTTAGAAACTGAGACATGGAGATATTTCACCTGAGATGCACTTCCCCCTCCCCCATCTTGCTGGTTCTGAGAAACGGGACAATTGCTGTGGGAAGCCCCCAGAAATGCACCGCCCCCCGCCCTCGGGGAAGGGCCAACCTTCACCTTCCATCTGTGAGTAATGTAACTGATTCCAAACACGACTATCATTGAAAGGAATCTAGTGAGCAGGCAGAATTGTAAATTATCCATTTTCCATTTTCTTTGGAATGAAACACAAACATTAGCAAGAAATTTGGAACAAAATTTTCAATGCCTATAAGCAGAAAAAGCAGAGAATTCTATCTCCTGCTAACCGGCATTTACGGAGGGCTCCCTGCACGCAAACCATGGACTCGGATCCTTGCATCTTGCATGTGGACACCCCAGTAGAATAGGCCAGTTGAGAGCACCAGACCAGGAGCTGGAATGTTCCAGTCTGTTGGTGACTCCCTCTGCAACAGTAGGTCATTCCCTTCCACCTGGACCTCCCTTTCTCTAACTCTCAACTGAGGGGCCTGCCTAGAGGCTCAGGCAATGTAGGATTCCAGCACAAGGGGCCATTCGTCAAAGGCTCACGGAAGAAAATCCCTAGATTCCCACTCTGACATCAGAGACTTAGGACTGGGGACACAAGAGGAGTCCCCTCCTGCAGAAGCTGGGGGGGGGGTGGATATTGGGAGCTTCGTTTGCAGGTAATCAAGTTCCCCATGGTAGAGTGCCATCGATACAAAAAAGCCAGCCCTTGAGTCGAATGTTTCTACCCGGCACTAAGCGCCATGAGAAAATGCTCCTGAGTCTGAGTGCTCCTTGTGCAGATTCGATCAGAATTTCAGCTTTGCGAATGCAGAGTTATAACATTTCAGGTGTTTTCGAACCCCAGGAATGCAAAAGCACACACTGCTGCCTAAAGCCAGGCTAACGAGCCCCTCGGCCTCTACGGCCGTCCAAAGTGTCAGCAGGCAAGAGGCTCAAGCCACTCTCCGTGGCACTGTGCGCCCCTGGAGAACCCACACCAGGCCAGGCTGAGACAAAACGGCCTGGACTGTTTTAAATTGGAGGAAATGTAACAGTCCCTGGGTTTTGCACATGTAGGTCTGGCCTTGGAAGCACCAAAATGAGGCAGTGTTATTTTCAGCCTTGGCTTGGGCAGGCTGCTCTACCTCTGTGTGCTTGTTTCCCTCAATCCTAAAACAAAAGCAGACACCACCCTCTCCTGTCCTACCAGAGGGGACAGTGATTTGTATTCAGCATGCCGTTCTTTCAAAGAACGAAACCCCTTTTGCAAAAGTAGGCCTTACTAACTTCCAAGAAGGTACGAGTTAGCTTCTGCTTTCCAGAGCTATGGGCGTCTTCGGCAAGGACTATCCCGCTCACAGACGAGGTCAGAGGCAAGGCCACAGCCGGAGTGGAGGAGCTCATCCCTGCAGGCTCCAGCTCTGACGCCCACCCTCAGCCCACCCGGTGGCACCAGACCACTGCCCGCTCGCTCTCCAGCCTACTTGCCTGGACTCCAGCTCCTCCGTGAGAAGTGGGGGCAGGGCCAGGCTGAAGTTAGGGAGCAGGCACATGGAAATGGCGTGGAGAGAACCAGAGCAATTTGCCCGCCCCCCCCCGCTGCCCTACTAGACGCAGAAGCAGAGGCAGGTGGCGCTGTCTCAGCATGCATAAGGCAGGGCCCCCAGGGTGCTGGTGACTGGGAGAAGCCAGGGGGACAAGAGCTAAGTCTCGGGCCTGGAAGTGGGGTGCGGGAGTGCGTTCAGGGCTGTTCGTCTAACTACAGCGCACACGATCGTGAAGCGTAAGTAACCCATCACTGGTTTCAGGATAAGCGCAAGGAGCAGCAGGGAGAAGAGGGATCTCTACCCAGCAGTGGCGCACTCACAGGCTGAGCCCGCAGTTGGCAAGCCATGAAGGGATCCGGCCTCCTTCACTCCTGCCAGTCAGCCGCGGTGCCCAGGCCAATTCTGGAGCTCGACGGGCCCAGCGTAAGGCCATGCAGGTGCTGGCGACCGCCCAGCTCTGGCTCAAGGCTTGGCTATACGGTCATTCACACCCTTGAACTTCTGGCCCAACTCAACACAGGAAGCCGGGGCAGCCAGGCAAGCCTCATGCTGGGTCGGGAAAGTGGTCAGAGGGGGCTTGGGTATTCACTGCTGACACGCTCAAGTCTGAGCTAGAAATGTTTAAGAGTGGTTGAGCAACACCTTTCCCCTGTACCCCAAAGGCCAGGGCAGGCTCCTCTAGAGCAGCTCTGAACCGATTTAGGGAGAGGCTGGGAGAGATTTCAAGGTCTTAGACCAAAGCAGAACGCCGCGAAGGAGACAGATCTAAGCCCGGGCCCAGGATAATAGCAGAACGGGAATAGCCTATGATAGTAAATGGGGTGGGGGGAAGGGTGCATAAATAATGCAACAAGGGACCCCAAGAATGCACCTGTTTGCAAGATACTCTGTATCCTTAGCTCTACCTTAGCTCTACCCAGGAGGACTTGGATGCTCCCAGAGGAAAGGAAAATGCGTTCCCACCTGCAGTGTTGAGCTCATAGCACAGTCCACTGGAATTCAGTTTAATGGAGATGAAGAAACCTTGCAGTCTGGTGGCAATAGAGTTTGACAAGATGACTGAAAGCTGACCTCATGCTGGACACTGAGATCAATCCCACCACACAGAGAAACCAAGTATGCCAGAGCTGATCTATTTTAAATGCACGGAAGATGTCAAGAAGACCTATTAATCCACCTCTGTCTCCTATATGATTGTTGTTACCCAAAGACACGAACACTAATAAAAAGCCCTTGGATCAAGTGCGACAAAGAGAATGGGAGAAGGAGGAACATAGAAGAAACTTGGAACAGGAGAAGGGCTTAGGGCTGAGTGTGCCAGAGGACACAGGAGCCGAAAACCGGGCAGCAGAGAGAGATGCCACCTGTGGGTCTGCCCACAGCTGCTCCTGGGGATGGCAGAGAGCGGGAGAGGCGTGTGTTCAAGAAGCGATCTTTGCTCTCGAGGTCCTGTCTGACTGACGATCCTGTGAGTCCCTGACCCTACCCGTCATCCCCCCAGGACTGATGCGTTAACGCTGGCCTCCCAGTCACGTCCCTGCCTGAACCAAGTGCCAACCAGGGCGTCACCAATGATCGGGAGTCGGAGGCTCAGGGCTCCCAGCCCGTGGAAGAGGCTGGGACAGAGAAGGGCTCATGAAGTGAACTGCAAACACCGTGCTCTTCCCTCCCCACCCCGACTCCCTGAGACTCACTCTCCTCGAGAAGAGAGACAATCAAGACAGGGCAGGGTTGTCCCACTGAGACAGAGGCCTGATTCTGTTCCAGAGAACCCCTCTTAGGGTTTCATGCTGACGGTGGCAAAGCCGTGACAAATTCTGGGTCTTGTGGCTTTGCGGACCGAATGCTTCCATAGACCGCCACGACAATCTTCTTGTCGTGCAGATTATAGACCTGCGCACCGTTTCTCTTCAGTATTTAGCAGTGACTTCAAATTCAAATGACTGTCTGATAATATCCATCATGAATATGCATCAAGCCCTTTCTTAGATAAATAATAATTACTTGGCAATTGATATGCTGAAAAAGAAAAGTATTACGGCTGGAGAATGGATTTGTATTCAAGGGGAAACTTTCGGAAATGATGTGAGTCGTGGAATGGCCCTGCGCTGGGGCACTCAGGCTTTGTGCTCCTGTCAGCCGGCACCCCAGGGAGGAGGGGACTCTCGGGACTGCCACATGGCCATTAAGGAGATGAGATGAATTCTGCTATTTGACAAAGAGCAGTGATTTCCTCCCCCACCCCACGTATAAGAGGCCATTAACGGCATTCTTTTTGTTGCTGTTCTGGAAACACCTGCGAACACGCCTAGCGTTAGCACACCACGTCCTTTTGTTTCATGGTCAGAATTTCTTAAAAGGCTCAAATCATTTAGGAGCCATGCCTCACCGATGCTATGCTCTCCAACCTGGCTGCAAAAGGCCTCCATGAGCCTTGCGCCTCAGGCCCGGTCCGTGTGAGACCATGTTAGAAGGTCTTCTCAAGAACTAAGTCACAGCAGATCCTGCTCTGGGCAGGCTGCCAGCGCTTTCTCAAGGTGCACATATAGGAAAGGACAGCTCTATCCGGGCGATCGCTCCACCCAAGGGTCATGAGAAGAGTAAGCAGGAGAAACAATGGGGATCAATAAGCGCTCCCCAGAGAAGTCTGCTCCCTGTCATTCTAGAATGCAGAAAACCTTATAGATCAGCCTGGTCCCACAAATCCAGAAGGCCAGTACATGGAGCTGCCTTTCTAGATCGCTCACCACCCTCCTCACTGTCCTCCTTCCCTCCCCTCCCCCAGGTCCTGACCCGTCCCTCAGGCTCAGAATTCAGCCTATGAATGGTACCCGTGATCCTGTCCTAACTGTTCACTGATTGGCTACGGCGAAGATGAAGTTCAGATGCACGAGTCCCAAGGAAGATGCGGACAATAACGCCCTCCGTGGAAAGCAAGCAGAAGGAATCCCTACCAGAAGCAGCAAGGGGAACCAGCTTCCCCCTCCTCTACAAGGCAGCAGCCTGACAAGCTTTTGGGGCTCAAACAGCACTTTTCTCCTGAGATCAAAGCCAATCCTCACGTGGCTCAAATATGGCCCGTAAGGTCCTATAAGTTGGATCCCGTTATAGCAAATTCCAAGGCCAGGATGCTGTCACATCCTGCCTGGAAGAAGCAGAGCGCTGATGGAGGGTGGGAACCCGTGTGGACAAGGTAGGCAGGACGCCACGATGGTCTCTGCACAAAGTTGTATTTCAAGCTCTTTCAAGACCAGTTTCACAAAGTCACACCTGTCCTGACTCCAGAGGCATCCCTTCCCACCCCAAACGCCAGGAAAATGAGGCAGGAAGGGGAAGGCGGAATTGGGTGCATCTCGTTCCTTGGTGAGTTCAAGTCCTTAATCCAACAATGTCCAGCCAAGCCAGCCAAGCCCAGCTCAGAGCAGGGGATACACGGGAAACCAGAACGTTTCCTTCCAGCCCGACTGCATCCCCCCCTCCCCCAACAAGCAATGGTCCAACAGCGTGAGCGATCCCTTATGGCTCCCTGGGTTTTACACCTGCCCCTTGCCCCTCGCTAGGGAAGGCGCGTCAAGCCCATGAGAGTGGAGCCTGAGAGGGAGGGAGGAGGTGGAGGAGAACCTGGGCCACAGCCACTTGCGTCTGCGTCTGCTGCTGCTGGAGGAGCTGCTGCAGAAGCTGCATCTGGTGCTGGCTGGACAGCGGCGTCCCTGGGCCCCAGCCTGGGGGCTTCGAGGAGCAAGAGGGGAGGAGCATCCTGGGCGAGGCCGCCAGCACAGGTTCCTGGGGGTGGGGAGAAACCTGGAGGAGAAGACAAGACGGGCGTGACCCCAGGCCGTGGCCGCTCTCCTACACGTGGCACGGACACGGCCGGCATGAAACACTGCATCCCTAGTGGAGGTGTGGACAGGACCCTGGGCCGGGGCCACCAGGCAGGCGGCGCTGCCGGGACCCTCAGTAACTGACCCAACGTGATGGAAGCAGACGGTGGGTACCGGCCTCTCATGCCGTGTCCAACAATACCCACACCTGGACTTCGGGGGGCTGATCTCTGGGGAACCTAGCACCCACCACCCCGTTACGAGACCGGGAAGGGGGAAGCTGCCACCTTCACTCTGCTGGGTCCCCAGGGCTCCCTCCTCCAGGGCTGCATGAGGGGGGCCACTCCAGCCGGCCCTGCCTCGCAGGGAGAGCCGCTAGTCTGGACAGACCCTCTCTGCAGGCTGAACGTGGTTTCTGTGCCGTCCCCCTCGGCCTCCCTCCTGGCAGGTGGGAACTGTCACTAAGATGGCTTATGTGATCCATAAAGCAAGTTCAGGGAGAGACGTCTTGCGTCTGGGAGCTCTGCTGCTGGCCCTTCCTCAGACAGGAGGGAGGGAGGCACCCACTGACCCATGGCTCTTGCGGTTTGCGGCGGGCACATGACGTCAGGACAATGTCAGGCCGACGATGGGCCCGCACCGCCCTCCAGACTGGAGACAGGCTTCTCCCGATGAGCCGCCCATTGACCTGCACCAGAAAAGGCCGACGCCCAACAGGAAGGCGAGGCGGCCAGGATGCGGGGAGTCGAAGGGGAGGCCTGCTTCTCAGCCTTCTCCTCCTGGCTTTTCCCTTGCGTCTTCAGGTTGGAATGTGCTCCCAAGTTCTTAGTGTCCCGGTCTGGCTTCTACCAGGAACTCCTTGGGAGCCCGGTCATCTCAGCTGTAAGACGTGAGGCTGGAGTTGATGATGCCCGAGGCTGTAACCCCCAAGGGGCCAAGAGCCAGCCTCAGCGGCACCGGCGTGTGGGCGCGCCCCAGCAGTCGCTACCTGCAGGCGGAGGCCGCCAGAGCGAACTCCGCTCCGGGGATCCGTCGTGGCGCGTGAGGATTCGCTTTGCGCAGGCACCAGGCTGGGATGTGGAGCCACGGGGGGCAGGACTGCCAGGGAGCCCGGCCAGGGAGCACGGCGGGGCCCCTGGAGTGCGACGCTCGTCAGGCGTAAGCCAGCGGCATCGGCAATCGGCCCCTCCCAGAGGAGAGGAAACCTGCTCTGTCACCGAAGCTGACCCCGCACGGGCGAGGACGTGCCTCTGACAGTGGCTGAGGCCACAGCCCGTGTTGCTCCCGGAGGCCGTGTGCATGCAGACCGTGCGATGCGCCGCCTCCCACCTACCTTGGGGTCCGGGTGGGAGCCTCCTTCCTTCCTGACAGCATCAAGGTCTGTCACACCTCGGCTGAATTCCAAGACATCATTCCCCGCGAGCGGGACCTCCGCTGCATCGATGTCCGTCTCCTCCGCGGTGGCCGTGGAGGCCCTCTCGGCTCCAGGGAGCTGGCGGCCTGCAGGGCGACAGAGGGAAGGGCAGGGCGCCGCCAAGAACGAGGTCCTCCTCCCCTCCTGGCACTTCACATTCAGCCACGTCAGGCCCAGAGAGCGCACTGGCTTCCTGACCTCTCCACCCGCCCTTCATTCCCCAACCGGGGAGATGTTCCTATTTAATATCTCTTCAGAGTCCAGAAACAAAAACGAAGTTTCCTGGAGGCTGGACGCCACTGCTTTGCCAGGTTGGCATGAGGTCGATGCTGACGGGGTGCAGGGGCTCAAGAAGGGAGGGGGTAACTGTCACCTCGACCTCCTCTGAGCTCAGGAGTGGAATCCACCCAGGGACAGCGCCCTGAACTGGGAGTCCAGCAATATGGGGGCTCCCCAGCCGTGCCCCTGGCGGGCTGTCAGACCAGGGGTAAGTGGCCCCACTCCCAGGGCCTCAGCTCCGACAGCAAAATCAGAGGCCGAGTTAGATGGACAAAGGGCACGTGACAGAAGAATGAGGGCAAGGAGACCTGAGGCCCCATCTGAGACGGGGGCAGCCCTCTACCCCTCCAAGGCGAGCCGGACTCTGACCTTGTCACCAAGCACAGAAGTCAGGAAAGGGGCCTGCAGGAGGCAGCAGTGGGGACAGAAGGGTGACAGAGGGGGTGGCTGGGTTTCAAGTCTTCTCCAGTCTGCCCACACTCCACTTTTCACCTCCCCCTGAAGACAGCGGCTGCACTCAGCATGTGTGTGGAAGTCCTGCTGTTTCTTATTTTCCTTCATTCCCTGTTCTTATTTCTTGATTCTATAAAAACCTGGCCATTCCTGGGCATTTCCTGGGAAGTATTTTTCTTTCTCTACATCTGAAATTAAGCTCATTGTTACTGTACTCAAATAAGATTTCTTAAAAGATTTCAGAGACCAAGCACCACATGTAAAATGGAAGAGGTTCACGTCAGCAGGAAATACAGAGAGCCAATTCCCTCCCCGAGCAGCCAGGCCTTAGTTGTCTGAGGGCCTGCCTCGGAGAACAAATAGTTTTGTTTTGTTTTTTTTAATATTTATTTAAGTAATCTCTATACCCAACATGGGGCTTGAACACCACCCCAAGATCAAAAGTTGCGTGCTCTACCAACTGAGCCAGGCAGGTGCCCCTGGAACAAATAGTTCTAACAGGTCTTCCTATGCAAACCACGTGAGTCAACTGGGGAAGCAAGCCTGGTTTTCAGAAAGCCAACAGGGTGCTTGGTTTTCCTCCTGGCTGCTCCAGGACTTGGGACACGGCCCTGGGACAGGGCCTGGCGGAGTGGCTCTGCTCCTCTGTGAGGCAGCAGGCGGGGACACAGAGCAGGCTGCTTCCCACCACACCCCTGCGCCCAGAAGTGACCTTCCTGATGGTCGGGAGGGCTAGCCTGTGAGACGAGGGCGGACGGAGAACTCGTGCCTACTTCTCCACAGGTGGATGGGCTGGACTGTAAGCATCGGTTCTCTGGGCCAGTGTGGAGATGAACAGGGTGAAATGCATGTGTTTTGAGCAGAAATGATTTCCCCCAGTCCCCAGGAGAGGCTCAGTCCCGCAGCACTGTGCATCCACTTGTTGGCATACTTGACACCTGGGATTGGGCGTGCCTGGCCTTCTAGTCCAACCCCCGCAAACCCCTCAGTCTTGAGGCCAGGGCTGGGTCTCATTCATGTTTCCCAGGGCTCTGGTACGGAGAAGGTATTCAGTAAACACTAACAAAGGAAAGAGTGTCACGATAGGTCAGCGAAACAGAGGAGTGGGCTACAGAAGAAGGCTGCCCCCCCCGACCCCCATTCCTGGAGTCCCTAATACCAAGGACACAAAGCGTTTGGAGATGCCCAGGCCAGAAGCCTGGAGGGATCAGAAACTCTCTCGGGTTCTTGCTCTGTTTCTGAGGGAGTCACAGACTTCTCGGCCATTCCCCAAACCAAGGCTGAGGAAGGGGAGTCACAAGCCACAGGACCTGCTTTCTGAAGGACTTCCTGCCACCCCATGGGCTCTCTGATGATCACCTCTGAAGTCCTGAACTTGGACGATGGCTAATGGGTGAAAGTCAGGATGGTAATAGACCTGTTAGAACAAGGAGGGTAAAGCTGGGGTAGACAGAATGCTCTGGATGCCATGCCTGTTAGCATATCGGATAAGGCAAGATTTAGAGGGCGGACCCACAGCGGATCCTCAGGTCCTGACAGACAAGGGGGGAATATCTCGTATTTGCAACTTTCCTGGCATCAAGAAGCTTCAAGGACCAGAAACGATAAGAGAAACCTTCTAGCAAAACCGGGAAACTTACGAGATTGGACTGTGTTTTCAAGGCTTCCCCAGCCTGATGGAGGAACCAGAGACCATGGATGCAGCAGGAGGCCGTGTCCCCTCAGAGGGAGCTATCCCGGATGCAGGGGGTAACCCGTGCAGAGGGGAGAACACCTGGAGAAGGAGTACCAGCTAAGGCAGGTGAGGAAGCAGTCCTGGGGAGGGGAGGGCTGGGAAGGCGTTCTAGGTGGGGGAAAAGATACAGAGGTATTCACTGCCAACGGCTCTGTATGGAGGGACCCAACCAGGAAGAGTCAGGATCTTATCTTGAAGGACTGAAAGCAGGTGAGTAATACCAAAGGGTTTTCATCCTTTCAAATTTCACCCTAGAAATGATGTGGAGGACAGATCTAGAAGGGACAAGATAGAAAGCAACACTCCAGGTGAGAAACAGGAGGGCTTACGCTAAGAGGGTCACAGTAGCAGAGGAGAACAGATATGAAAGGTTTTCAGGGCACAGAAATCACAGGACAGGGTGACAGACTAACGGTAGTGGGGGGAGATAGAGCGGTGGGAATAGGGAGGGAGGGAGAGAGGAATATGCGTAAAATGAGTTTTGAAATTTCTGATTTAGGTGACCTGGTAGGGACTGGTGCCCTTTAGGGAAATTTCGGGAGGAGCAGGGTTGTGGGTAAGACGGAGTTTTAAACCTGCTGGAATCACAGGGTCTGTAACAACCAAGTGGAGATACCCATCAGCTGTTGGAGAGTTCAGGAAAAAGATCTGGTCTGGAAATAAACATCAGTCGAGACCACGGGGGAAGTCAGAAAAGAGCACAGGGACCGAGCCCAGGAGAAATGCAAAGGATGTTGGAAAGCAAGTAGCAGATAAAAAAAAAGGTTGTGCGTGCATATGGGGTGGTGCCCCAGAAGCTGGGGTGGGGTGGGGGCGGGGCGAGTGCTTCCTGCCCCGTGGTGAACTCGGCACAGAAAGGCTGGTTCAGGTTGCTAGCTAGGGGCCTCAGTGACCTTGACTGGTGGTCTCCGGAAGGGCTGGCAGGCAGCAGATACCACATCGCTGGAGGCTGGAGGGATAACGGCCAGGATGCAGGGACAAGGAAGAAGCTATATGAGCGCAGATAAATCTGGCAAGAAGCTGAACGATGAGGTAGAGATAAGGCTGGGGGAGACGCAGGGGCAAGGAAGGCTGGATTTGGTTTTGTTTTGACGATGAGAGAGGCTTGACCTTATCTGTCCACAGTGGGGAAGAAGCCAGCAGCTACGGAAGACTCAGGTGACCCCTCGGGAGAGACAGCCCTGGTGGCCTGGTGCTCAGGGAGAAGCAAGTGAAGGGTAATCCTGGACGGGCGGGGGGCAGGGGATGACGACACCGACCACGGGGCAGAAGCTGGGGACAAGCAGCAGGGTGGCCCTGGGGAACATAAGGGATGGACCTGTGGACGGCTGGTTTCCCGGGGATGGGCCAGCATCAGGGGCTCAACGGAGAGGCGTTTCTGGGTCAATGCAGAACTTGTCACATGTCGAGGATACAGTAATAAAATGGTTTCAAAAAAGAATACGAGTTAGGGCGCCTGGGTGGCTCAGTTGGTTAAGCAACTGCCTTCGGCTCAGGTCATGATCCTGGAGTCCCGGGATCGAGTCCCACATCGGGCTCCCTGCTTAGCGGGGAGTCTGCTTCTCCCTCTGACCCTCCTCCCTCTCATGTGCTCTCTCTCATTCTCTCTCTCTAATAAATAAATAAAATCTTTAAAAAAAAAAAAAAAAGAATACGAGTTAATTAGCTCAGTCACGAAGTGCTGGACATGGCCACTTTTTGGCCTCAAAACTGCACTGGTAACAGCTGTAATTTAAATAGCACTTACTACCTTCCTGGCACTAATTTAAGTGTTTTACCCGTATAAATCGTTTATCCTCAGAACCACCCTCCAGGAGGTCCAGGCACTGACAGATAAACTGAGGCACAGAGCTGGGAAGGCGGGCGCTGGGGCTCCAGGCCCAGTGCTCGGAACCACTGTGGTGTCACCCTGCCTCCCCCCAGGCTGGCGACTTCCACCTGCAGTCCCCCACACCCCCCATCACTGTCTTCACTTACACACTCCAGGTGATCTGGTGTATTTGTCATGGGTTCGTACCCCCACCCCCAACTTTGAAAGCCAGCTCCTTGCCATCGGGGACCTGTCTTGTTCAGTTCACCCAGAACTGAGCCTGGCACGTCGGGCGGGGGGGGGGGGGGGGCGAGATGAACATCTGTGGAATGAAGGAGGGCACTAAAACCAAGGAAAGACAGACGATGGGGCGGCGGTCGCCGGGGCTGGAGAAGGGGGAGGTGGGGGCGCAGACGGAACGGGTCAGCGGCCTGCTCGCTGTTCAGAGTGAGCAGCGGATATAACGCGTACGCAAAATAAATATTCCCCCCAACCCGCTGCTCACTGTCTAGATGGCCAGAGTTTTCTTTTCAAGAAGCTCTATTCCTCCCAAGCGTTCCAAGCCCTTCCCCACATTGGATGGCTGCCATGGGAGGAGGAGGAGGCCTCCAAGGGAACGGGATCTCGCCCAGGAAACCCTCTCCAGGAGTCAAAGAAACCACACAAGGCAGAGCAGGGAGGGCGGAGCAGGAGCCCTGGCCCCACCTGGCTCTGAGCTCCAGGGACGCGCCCAAGGCTGCCCAAGGCGGTTGCTGCCAAAAGATACCGAAGATAAATCTCCCCGAGGGTAGGGCCCGGTGGAAAGAATGAGGGAGGAAAGAGAGGCAGGCACTGAGGGGACAGTGAAGGTGGATGCCATCTTAAAAGCACTGCTGGAACCCAGAGGGTAAAGGGCGGACAAGACATCAAAGACAGCGCGCACGCAGGTCTCCCCTATGCCGTCACGGGCCTGCTGCCACGTCACGTGGGGCGGCGCCGGGACAAAGGTACACACGGCATTGAACGGAAAGCTCCCGAGCATGGACGTGAGCATCCTCATAACAACACACGCACGCACGCACACACACAACCAACAATTCCACTCTGGTGCTTCGAGGTCCCCCATTACAGACGAAAATCCCACTGCAGTCAATAAATGCTTCCGGGGGAGGCCCTTACGGACAGAAGAGACGCGTTCCCAGTGGTTTAACAGCCCGTAAGCAAGCAGGTGGGGCCCTAAAGAGCAAGGGAAATGGGGCCGGGCACTAAGCAGCTTTCCTTGAGGGAGAAAGGTTTCCCATCCCAGATCTGCGGCATCCCAAACGCTAGTACTCTAAGTATCTAAGTAGGCTTGCCTTCAGGGTAAACGCTGTGATGGGAGGGCATCCTAATTCATCACTGAACTCAGACCTGCCCTAAGACCACGGGACTCGAGAGACCCTCCTGTCTCCTTCCCGCACTGCCTAGATGGGGTAGGTCATGCATTTTCGACTCAGAGCCACAGAACTAGCTACTCTGTAATATGTATTTAGAGTACTGTACCGTTGGCCCTTGAGCAACACGGGGATTAGGGCACCGACCACCCCATGCAGTTGAAAATCCACATGTAACTTCTGATGCCCCCAAAATGTAACTAATAGCCTACTGTTGTTAATAGCCGTATCAGTAACAGTTGATCAACACATATTTTGTAGGTTACAAGTAATACACCATATTCTTAGAATAAGAAAGCTGGAGGAAAAGGAAATGTTATTCAGAATGATGGCCGTTGGGGCAGGCAGCAGGTGGAATCACGGGAGTGAGGTCTCGGGGTGAGACTGGCGGGCTAAGCAGAGAGCTGGTGACGGTGACGGGGACAGTGGCTATGGGTCGAGACCAACGTGGCTGTGGCCCTCCAGCTGTAGCGGACGGTCAGCATGGAAATAACAGGCCCGCCAGCCATGTCACCTCTCTCCTTAGTACCTTCTTGGTGATCGTTTTCTCGAATAACATTAATATACACGAGACCTCAGCTACTTGGCTTCTTCTGCATACCCTGCTCCCCAAAATGTAACATAAATGATGTTCTACATGTAGAAACATCGGTCTAGGGGTGCCTGGGTGGCTCAGTCAGTTAAGCGTCTGCCTTCAGCTCAGGTCATGATCTCAGGGTCCAGGGATTGAGCCCCACATCGGGCTCCCTGCTCAGCGGGGAGCCTGCTTCTCCCTCTGCCTGCCACTCCCCCTGCTTGTGCTCTCTTGGCTCTCTCTCTCTCTCAGATAAGTAAATTAAAAAATCTTAAAAAAAGAAACATCATTCTAGTATAGTTTCTTCAAAGTTTAAGACGTCAAAGACCTGAGGGTGTATCTTAAGGAGGTCCAGCACGGAACGGATGTGCTGTCTACATAACCTACTGGCATCCCAGCAGAGCCTCTCTCCTCCTTGTGTAAATGAGGATACAGCCCTGCAGAGTGATGGAAACTGTATCAGGGAACTACACGTAGACATATTGATTTTAAGGAATTGGCTCATGTGATTGTGGAGGTGTGACAAGTCCAAAATCTGTAGGGTAGGCTAGGGACCCAGGGAAGAGTTGTAGTCCAAGTCCAAAGGTGATCTAGTGGCAGAATCCCCCTTTGTTCTAATAAGGCCTTCAACTGATTGGTTGAGGCCCACCTACATTATGGAGGGTGTTCTGCTTTACCCAAAGCCTCGGATTTATATGTCAGTCTCGGGGCGCCTGGGTGGCTTAGTCGGTGAAATGTCTACCTTCGGCTCAGGTCATGATCTCAGGGTCCTGGGATTGAGCCCCACGTCGGGCTCCCTGCTCAGCGGGGCTGAGGGAGTCTGCTTCTCCCTTTCCCTCAGTGCTCTCCCTCCCTCCCTCTCTCTCAAATAAATAAAATCTTAAAAAAAAAAAAAAGTGTTAATCTCATCTGAAAAATACCTTCCCAGCAACATCTAGAATAATATCACATGTTGTATGTGTCTGGGTCTACGTCTAAGCTTTCTATTCTGATCTACCCAGGGACGCGTTCATGTGATGGTACAGTTTTACCTAGTATAGCTTTATGTTTTTATGTCTACAAAGCCACTCATCTGTCATCACTCACCTTTTCCAGAAAATTTTTCTGTTCTTGCTTTTTTATTTTTCCTTATTTCTGTTACAATATTAACAGCTAACATGTATCTGGTGTTTACTATGTACCAGGCGTTTCACATGTATCTGCTCATCTGTGGTCACAATAATCCTATGCGGTGGACACGACTTTATTCCTGTTTTCTTCCAAAGAGAACACTAAGGCCCAGAGAGGTTATTAATTTGCCCCAGATCACACAGCCAGGGACTGGTGCTGCCAGAAGGAAAACCAACCGTCTGCGTTCTCAAGCCCTTTGCAGCGTGAGATTTTACTTTGTTGTTTTCTGACTTCCTGAGTTGGATGCTTCACTAATTTGATTTTCACGATTGCTTCTCTGTTAACATAAACAGTCGAACCTCTGGATTTTCCTCTGCACACTGCTTTATCTGTGTCCCCCAGGTTCTGAATATAATAGCTTTCCATTGTGACCCTTCTGCCATCAGAAATTTGTATTGTCCTGTTAAAGCGAGAGATGAACAGGAGAATTCGCATTTTTGTAAAAGATGTTCAGGTTTCCTGACACTTCAAAATGAGAGGTATTGGAAAAATGTCCACATGGAAGGTTCACAGGACTACAGAATTTAGAAAACAGGAAAAAAGCTATTAAGGTAATTATAAACTTTATCTTCTTTCTCATCTGTTTTATGAAGGTGCTTTTGTATTGAAGTTTTCTTGGGGGTCAGATTTGGTAGCATCAGCCACTCAAGCGCTTCCTTGTTCGATAAACATCTTTAATTTTCTATTAGGAAAGCCACACGTGTTCCTTAAAGAAAATTTGGACTCGAGAGAGAAAATGTTTTTTAAGTGGACTGGTTGCCTGGGACTTGGTGGGGGGAGCTGTGGCCCCATGCTGGGTGCCCCCCACCCTCTGCCGCCACCACCACCTCCTGTCCATCCACGCCCACTGCCTGCACCTGCCAGATGCCTACCTGGGTCCCCCGAGCAGCTGCTGTTCTTCTCGCTCTCTCCATCCTCCTGCCCGTCTGCGTTCTGCTGCGTGTGCTGGAGGCTCAGCTTATGGCAGACCTCGAAGGCCTGCCCGACCGTCCGCACGATTCGCATAGCTTGGCTCTGGGAAGGAGAAAGGAAAAGAGCAAGTGAAGGGCGTGGGGCATGGGGACCCTCTGCAAGGACACAAGAAGGGCCAGGGATGGGAGAGGACGTGCCGGGGCCTCGGGGACAGAAACCCATGAGGCCGGCAAAGGAAAGAGATGGAAACATCTAACGTGGCTTTGACGTCCAGACGCTCACCAAGAGGAGTGCGGAGATAGTTTTCTTCTTGAAATGGCCCAGAAAATAGACACTCACCACGGTTCTGTAACAATAAGCCAACTGGAAGGACAGACAGCTAATACCCCAATTCTGGACTTAGCCCAATTCATCCTCCCAGGTTTAACAAAAGTGGTCGAGATCCTTCCGACTCCTTTGCCAACCACAATCAAATGTTCAACAGGTTCGCCACATGAAGAGCAACTCAGCCATCACTTCTTTCCTGCTGGAAATGGTGAGTCTCCAGCAGACCAGGGGTGGTGGGGAGACGGGGCCGGGAAGTCGCCATCTAAACAGCAGAGCCAGCGAAGCCCGGAATCCAAGTCCCCTGGAACACCACTGGCAGCAAGCTTAACTAAGGAGAGCCTTCCCAGTCTCACTCTAAAGACATCGCTCCCTTGGGTCTGTTCCGTGGCTATTTCTCTTTGCTGTTTTTCCTCCTTTCTTTCTTTATTGGCTTGGAGGTGGGGGGCTGAGGAGCTATTTAACTGCTTCTATTAACAGCCCAAGAACAGAGCCTGAGTCTAGCTCTCCTTAACTTGGAGAGGAAGAGGACACAGGACAAAGAAGCCTCGTCCCCTACATTCTTAAGGGACCCACACAGGCTCTGAGGAAGAACCACAACCACGGTCCCCAGGGCCTGGCCTCCAAAGTGGATAGCTGACCAACTGCATCCTCAGTCCGCTTTCACTGTCTTCCAAAGACTGAGTCAAGGGCAAGCTACAGGCTGGGTGAGCCCAGCTCACTGCTCCTTGTCCCCTGGGGTCCCCAAACACACCACCACCACTGACAGCAGTTTATTTAACCATGGCTGTCCCCCTATGCCTGCGTCTGAGATTAGTCACATTTTGGATGATCTGACTCCGGGTCAGCTGTGCCTACCTAGCCAAGCTCCACATTCACCACAGCGTCTGTTGCTATAGAATCTCAGGTTCCCCCAAGGAGGACAGGTGACAAATTCCACCATCCCTGGAAGCCACAGGTACTTTCCTTAACTAGCTGTGAGGATGATGTTAGAAGTCGAAAGCTCCCCACACAGGTGCCCCTGAATCTATAGGATTAGACAGGGGTAGGGACAGGATTTCTCATCTTCTCTTTGAAAGGGAGCACTCAGATTTCGATCCAGGAGGAAATGACTTCTCAGAGGACCTGCATTTCTCCTGCATCCCAAGCTGGGCCATGGAACACACTCAGGACTGACCTCTGAAGAACCCAGACTGTGGCTCACATCTCTGCCACCTTTATCAAGGACAAACGTACGGGACATGCACACCAGTTGCAACCAACTATTTACAAGCCCAAAATGGTGAGAAGGAAGTGGGCTGGTTTTAATGCTTAGTCTTCTCCATGCTTCATGTTCACACGTTAGTACACTCACTATCGTAAGCAGCTGACCCTCACCTCGGATTCCCTGAAGAGGCAGGAAATGCGGACTTTATTAGGCTCACTGGTCCCGCCTTCCGTGTTGGAAATGGCACCCCACCTCCTCGCCTCAGGCCCCCAACCCCTTCCTACCCGCCCTTCTTGACAGCTATTCTATGCCTGCCTGTGACGCCACCTGAAGGGGTGACTCGGTGAGGTCTACGACCTCTCCTCCACCACCCGGAGGGTTACCTGTAGGACTAACATGCGAGAGAGCACCTCCCACACTGCTCGGCATACCCTGAGTGCTCACCAACAGGTTTTAGTGCCGAAAGGCAATGAAGACAGAAAATAAACAGGAATGGCTGGGCTTACTTTATCAACAACAGAAAGATATGAAGGGAGTTGCCTCTGACTACGTATGTGAGCATGAAAAATGAAAGGCTAAACCACCCTCTCTCCCCACAGCGCGTAACAGAGGAGAAGCCGCCGGCCAGATGATGCTTGGTCTGTGCCTGTGTGATGATTTCCACCACGAGAAGCTGTCGGATTAGAGTTCTAGGTTTGCACATTCGCTGCTAAGTGGCTTCCTTTCAATTTGTGCTTTACTCCCCTCGAATGGAGGTCGTATTTCCACTCGCAGTAAAAGGGCACAGTGGCACGTTCCATGAGGAGCCCTCTGAACTTGAACACGCAATCAAGCTACCCTGCTACCTGCTTTACAGGAGGACTGGAAACACGTGAGAGAAGTGGCCTCTCTTCTCAGCACTCTAGAAGCTGGAAGACGCCGGATGGCTCCCAATTCTCAGAGATGGCTGTGTGAGTTCAGGTGCCCTCTGACCTTTCAGGCTTGCCTCCCCTCACCAGTGGGAAGTCTACTTTTAGTGGATTCCCATATAAGGACCCCTTTGGGGGAAATGACTTGAAGACGGCTCGGCTCGGATTCCCATACAAGGCCAACCCGCACCAGGCGGGGCCTATCCCTCCCCCAGCTGGTACCATCTGCACAGCCATGCTGGTTCCTGCTGGCTGGGCCTGCGCCGCCCAGGGACCAGGCCTTCTGGCCTTGCAAGCAAGAAAACCGGTTCTGCCTGCCGCCCGGGAATGCAGGGCTCACATGTGCTAAGACTTGATAGTTCATACACCATGTCTAAGCCCACGAGGGAGGACTCTTCACTAAAAGCAGCTTTCAAAAGAACCCTTTCCATAGGTCCCCATGGGTCCCAAGGAGCTGCTCACACCTCATGACCACAAACAGGCCTTTGGAAATCAAAGGGGAGATGAAAAGATGTGAAGGCAGCCAGGCACAGAGCAGAACACACAAGCGGCACGCTGGGAAGGCGGCCTTCTCCAGTTCCAGAACCTGGCCATTCTCTGGAATTTGCTAGATTTTTACAAAGCATCCCTATACTGCACTATTTCTGGACAAATCCAGTTTAGTCTCACAAAAGCCCCCTGAAAGTAATTGGCCACATGGATCAAATCTTCTGTCCAAAAGCCACTTTCCATCAGCAGTCCCAAAGCATCTGTGGGCTTTGAATTGTCAAGCTTAGGCTGGCTGTGGTTGCTTTGATGTTTTTCAAAGCTGGGAAGGAATATCTAACTTCTCGGAGTGGCTCTCAGCCACAGATGGGGACCACGGCAGCTCAGGAGAGTGCCGATTACAGGCAATTTTGTGAAACAGGCCTGGAAAGGAAGTGGTCTTACAACTTTGTACCACTTACTGTCATGACACCCAGAAATGCTTCTTTAGACCATTCTACTTATTCGTGCTGACAAAGCCTCCCTCCCTCTCACCACCCCCCAAGGCCATCCTTCCGTCCAGCACAGAGGTCAAGACACAACCCACGGCTGTCCTCTTGTGGGTACCAACGACACGCCTAAGGGGTACCCGGTGAACTGCACCGGCCACCATGAACTAAGGCCATGTTCTCCATGAGAGTGGGTGGCTGCTCAAAAGCACACGAGAGTCTCAGTGGTACCTTCAGGAAGACAGAAAACAAAAGGTGATGCCCCTGTATTTCACTGATCCAGGGAAAAATTATAGTCGGTCATGATTTTATCTTCTGTTCCCATGTTAGGGGACCCCGTTGTCGGTTGGCGCTGTAGACGTGGAGAATCTTCCGAGTGCGACATACACGTGAAGAATGGTAGATATTCGTCTGATTCCGCAGCTGACTTAAGGAATGACCCTGGGCGCTGCTCCGCGTTTCACTGTCCTGGAAAAAGCTGTATTTCACAATTCCTGGAGATGACGTAAGGAGTCCTCAGGTAAGTAAGGAAAGGGATGCGCAGGCGCTCATCATGAAGATGAAGATGGCAAAGGCAACAGTAAGAAGAGGGAAACGTGGTGCCCACTCCTCCCTAGTCTGCAGCTCTCTCTTCTCCACTCTCATCTACTGCCTCCGCACCCCACACTTGAGACCTGTCTGCTGAGTACTTCTGAATCCCAGGGGACTGAAGTCCACTAAGTCAATTCCAGGACAGCTCCTGGGTTTATAATTCTTCTCATCTATCACAGCAATAAAGTCCAGTGCCCTTACCTTGACCTGAGCTACCAGCCTCAGCAACAAAAAAATAGAACTGAAGGTCATGTTTCTTTAATGTGCTTCCCCCCCCTTTTTCAAACTGTTATAAAAGATTTAAGCTTGTATCTATCAAATGACGGCAGTGTACAGAATTCACAATGCTGAAGCAAGAAAATATATTTGGAATTCTACACAGAGGAAGATCCAAGGTATGAAGGCTCTGAAACGGGATATGGGTGGGGATTCTGTCCAACAGGTATGGAATGGTCTTGATCTATAATTTGATTGAGGCAATGCCTGGGACACCAGAATATTGCTCACTATGGGGAAAGTTTAGTTTCAAAGTGAGTAGGACTTTTGACATCGACAGGACATAGGGGATCTTAAAATTTCCAGTAGACTGCTGGGTTCTTCCTTGTACTCTGCTAGTCCACGAACCACAGGACCATAGAGGAAAGAAGGCTGGGTTATAAACTCGGTACTGGCAGTAACCACCCAGGTGACCGTGAGCAAGTTAACTCACCTTTCCAGGAGCCGATTTCCTCATCCATAAACAGAGAGGTTTGGACCAGATGAGTTCAGAGACCTGTGGCTTCTCTATTTTGACTTCCTAACCCCATCCCACCACCCCAACATTTAAGACATAAAAAACAGACTCTTGCCCTGAGTGTAGGACCTCCCTCTCCTTCATTGTAAACTTGGCCGGGCAAGTGACTTATTGTTTAGCCCATGACTGTCATCATCGCTCAAAATCCATTGCAAGCACTCAAGGACGGACCATGAGGCTTCTCAGCTGTGGCCGCTCATCTGATGGTGACAGCATTACAGGAGGAAGAAATTTCTCCTAACCCAAACCAACTGAGCTGTGATTGCAGGCAAAATGATTTCAAGGAGCTGCCCATGAAGAGACCAGGGAGATTCCTGCGGCTCTTGTTAATCACCAACACTTCACGCACTGATGCGCTATTAAGTACAGTCACACTTAATCAGGGCCGACAGCCTCATTCTCCCAGGGCTGGGAGGACAAGACAGGAGGGCGACATCCACTCCACAGGAGAGGTCAAGAGACCACGCAAGAGGCCAGAGGCCTTGCACATGAATACTATCATTATACCCCCCAAGGAGGGGAAGCAGAATGCCGTGGTCATTAGGAAACGTCTCCACCGGATGCTCTGGGCGAGGAAAAGACCCACTCCCAGCCTTCCTTTCTCACAGAAGTCTGAACGATGCGGGGACAAACATCCCCTCCGCAGACACACGCCCACCACCAGCCTTGGCAAGCCTTCCCAGTCACACAGAACTCATTCCTGACGATCGGATCCTTTCACACACAACCACCCGCATTCCTGAGATGCCTTTCATCGCACTTGGTGGCTGGAGCAGCTCAAGTCTAGAGGCTCATGTTCCTTCTAGGAGTTTCATACAACAGAGGTTAGTGGCCAAAGCTCAGGACGAGGGGGCGGGAGGCCTGGTTCCAGTATCAGTGGCATGGTTGACTCACTGTGTGACCAATGGCAACCCACTTCCCTGGGCCCTTTCCTTCCCCAACTATATAATGGAGTCAGTACCGATCCTACAAAGACAGTGAGAGGAACACCAGAAGGAAAATCTGTGTCAGAGTGACTTGGGTCATTCAGAGTTAAGAAGCTCTCCATACCCAAATGACAAGGGCAGGAGAATCCCATTGCAAATAGGTCTTGGAGAACAAGGCAACTCCTTGTTATGCAACTTCCTGATGGAAACCAGTAAAATGGAGTGGTTAAGAGTCAGACTCTTTGGGTTAAGTTCCACTTATTATGACTTATGTCCCTTAAGCTTCTGTTTTCCCATCTGGAAAATGAAGAGCGTAAGAGTACCTATCTCACACACCTGCCATAGGAAGGATATAAGATAACTCACATAAAGTTTAGAAGAGCGGCAGGGACATAGCAGGTAACCAAAACAGACGACTTCCTATGAAGCAAGAACTTGAGTAACCTGGAGTCCTAGATGACTAGCAGGTGCTAGGTTAGCTTCCCGCAATCTTTTGCTATCTAGCTCCTGACAAGAGCCCAAGAGGAGAACCACACTGGCTATATGTGTGAGCGACCTGTGTGAGGAGCCACAGATCCAGAATCACTGTCATGCCAGGGTGAGGCCGGGGGCCCTCCACCAGGACAGCTGAGATGCCTGACCCCTATTCTCAACCGACAGAAGAGACAGCTCTGCTCCCCAGGGTGAACGGGAAGGGAAGGGCGACAACCACACGAGGAGCCTGTCATGGGAAACAGGCCCTGGGAGCCCACATGGGCCATGGTGTGATCCGAACAGCAATACCCCAAAGCCCTGACATGGCAAGGAGCTCATAGGAGGTCTTTCTACACTATGATCAACACGAAGGCTCTGGAGAACAGCCAGCTCTGCTGGCTACCAGTCAGGAGATCTCCTGATCGATTGACCACCAATGCTCCACAAACATCCCTGCAAGACATGTCTCTTCAGGGCATGGAGTCCCTCCCCACACCCCTTCTTCCCTCCCCTCCCCACCACTTCATAGGTATTCCTATGACTGGCTAATTAAAACTCTTTCCCAAGCTAACTCTTACCTCCCCAGACCAGAAGTGCTTTACACAACAGTAAGTCACCATCCCCAGAGGCTCACCGGAATAAGCATGAGAAACCTGGCAGGCAGGGCCCCCCGCCCGGCCCATCTGCGGGCTTTCCTGCACACTCACTTCTCCTCATTGGCCCTTCCTCCCACAGTTCAGCAGCAGCAGGCCTCCCAGGCTGTCTGGACACCATTCTTTCAGCTGCCTGGCTGCAGGCCAGCAAAGGGCCTGAGAACCCACTCCACCGAGAATTCCAGCCTCAGGAGGTGAGGGGAAAAGGGACACGGAAAATAGAAGAGCCAGAGATCCAAACGAGCCCCGAGAGCTAGGAGACATGGGAAAAGCCGAACTGGGAGGGAGCTGGGCGACCACTCCTTTGTCACTGGGTAATAAGAACTCAATTCTGTGCTTTGCTTCACGGTCAAAGTCCCAGTGGGCACTGCTCTCCGACTCCCAGGTTTTGGCAGGATGGGACGGCCCCACTGTGTTTGTATCTGCTAGATCTGACGGCAAAGCAAATAGAATGAATGATACCCTTTACCTAGGCTTTCCTGCTCAAAATTCTGCCCGGCTCCCTGACTCTGGCCAGTGCCTCTTCATGGGACTGTGAGCAAGTCATTTCATCTCTCTGAGCTTCAATTTAGTCATCTGAGAAATTGGGGGGGGGGGGGGGAATTACCTGTCTTAACTTCTTCACAGAGGTTTTAGAATGATCAAGCAAGATTAAATATTACAGTACTTGGTAAATTATAGTGTTCCATGTGTAGCTCTAGTAAATCCCAAGGCCCACGTGGTCCAGCCTCTGGACAAAACTGAAGTCAGATGGACAGTTGGGCACTCAAAATGAATTAAAAGGGGATTGTAGTCTTTAGTTGCACCTGTCAAAGCACATTACAGATGATCCAAATCTTAATTGTCAGGAACACTTTGCATTTCCCAGATCCCCTGTACCTCAAAGCTATAGAAGAGCCTTTCACCCTCCCAAGCTCCCCGTGCTCATCGACTGCCCCTCTGGCTTATCTCTCCCCCCGTCTCCCTCCTCCTCTTCCTATCAGTTCTTCAGTATGCGGCTCGACTTAGCCCCACTTACACATTTCGCTCCACTGTACTATCATCTAGAAGTCTGGTAACTTGTGCATTTTCCTTCTACCTTTCCAGTTCTAGCTCCTTCCATCCAAATTCCATGATTTGCGTTAAAAAGCCTGGGAAAAGGTGGCCAAGGGCACCAATCTCCTCAGAGGAAGAAGCTAAATCAGCAAAGCAGAATTCTCGTTGTACAGCCAAGGTGGGGGTACTGGACACATAAGATTCACTAATCATGACCCTGTCATGTATTATTCTTATTAGGCCCACTTGACAAGGTCCCTACAAATCTATTAAAGATGCTTTATAGTATACGATGTCATACGGCGTCAAAGAAGGGGTCCACAGGAAGGGATTTGGAAGTCGTCCTCACAGAAAGCCATGCTCGGTGGTTTATGGCCAGAACACCAGACGTGTAAGGAATCTTAGAGGCATAAATAAAGCGTTTCCCGAAATCTCTTCTGCAGAAAAATAGTTCCTAGGATATTACACAGATTACAAGGCAAAAACATGATCCCATGGCTGAAACAGTTTTGTGAAATGCTGGGTTAAACAGAGCTAAAGGGGTTTCTCAAACTTTAGGACTTCCCAGCAAATTCAAGGAGGAGAGTTTTAACACGGAACATTTTGGATGGTAAATATTTTCCAGGAGCCATTTTAGGAAACTCTGCTTTTGACTCTCCTCTTTGTTTTATATAGACAAGGAAGCTGAGACCCACTAGGGAGAGTGACCCACATAATATTTCTCAGGGCTCTAGTGGGGCCGGGGCTAGACCCTAGGTTTCTAACCTCAGTTTTGTGTTAAATTCCTGGAGAAATGATAGAAAAAGCATCTACCAAATTGCCAACGTTGCATTTACTCAAGCATCAAGGTTACGACCCCAAAATAACCACCCAGGACAACCAGCCTCACACACAGAGTCTACACTAGACTCCACATGTCATGATTTGTAGGCCCCTGATCGATATACAAAATTATGATGAAAGGTCACTTAAGTCAACGGCCGTGCTTCTTGCCTACCACACACCAAGGTGGGCATCACTCCGGGTGTGATCTACGTGTCCCGTTCCAGAGCCCTCATCCGATGGTCGAGATCTCTCCAGTTGTCCACATGTCACAGAGTACAAAGTGGGGATGAAACTGAAGGGGAATTTCATTACACAGGGACACTGACAGACTAATCGGAAGGCTCCCCCATGTCGTGCACGCAGAGAAACACCTCGAATCTTGCCTCTCCAACAACAGGGGATGGGTCAACGTTGGGGAGGGGAGTTACCCTGGGTCCGTCAGAGGAAAATAAGAAATGACCGAAGACTGTCCATTTACCTTCTTCTTGGATTTAAAGACATTACACCTGAAAGTATTGCTGGCACCATCTCGAGCGATATAGCTGAAGATCTTCAGGTCCTGGGAATCATGAGAGACGTAGAAGATCCTGTAGGAAGAGCAACAGAAAAATGCACCGAAGATGGCATTAGGTTCAAATCTCCAACAAGGAAACCTCCATCTAAGGGCACACTGAAGACAGAGCTCGCTTCTTCCTGCGAAAGCAGGTGGCACTTTCAACAGGCTCCAGACACTCCCCAGAGCGAGCTCCAGATTCAGAAGTGGGGGCATGGGTAGGACACGGACCCCATGCCGTTACTAGGCAGCAAATCTGTGCTGGTAATTTGTGTATTAGAAGGGGAAAAAAAGGAGCACCTGGGTGGCTCAGTCGGTTAAGCCGCTGCCTTCGGCTCAGGTCATGATCCCGGGGTCCTGGGATCGAGCCCCGCATCGGGCTCCCTGCTCAGCGGGGAGCCTGCTTCTCCCTCTCCCTCTGCCTGCCTCTCTGCCTACTTGTTCTCTCTCTCTCTCTCTGTCAAATAAATGAATAAAATCTTAAAAAAAAAAAAAAAAAGGAAGGGGAAAAAAAAACCGTTGCCGTCCTTATCAGGGCAATAAATCCGCATCCTACCGTGGAAATGTGGGCAAGTTTCCGGATACCTGTTCATGGTTCTCTCCATACGCGGAGAGTCAGGGAGCCAGCAGCGCCCGCCGCGCTGGGGGAGGTGAAGATACTCTGTTCCATTATCAGAGTCCCTCCACGGTGGTGGCTTCGCTTCCCGTCCCTCCCCGGCAGGCCCACGGCCTCCGGGCGCTCATTCCACGGCTCCCCCAGTCCCCACGAGCACGCTGCGGGCCGGGCGCTATTCCGGCAGCAGCAACACAGGTAAAGGCCCTGAGCCCTCAGAGCTCACGTGCAGGAGATCCCAACAAACAAACAGCACGAGTGCTCTGAGGACAAAGAGGCCGAACGAGGGGCAGAGCGTGGCGGCGTTGGCTGTTTCGGCCAGGGTGGCCAGAGGGAAGGCCCCACAGAGAGGCAGGGGCCTGAGCGCGAGGGAACCCCCCATGGAACCAGCTGGGCGACACCACGGCAGGAAGTGGGAACCGCTCCCGTGAAAGCCCTGTGGCATTCAGAAGGTGCTGGAAGCGTCCGAGGAACGGCCCGACGTCAGGGTGGCTTAAGTGGAGTGCTTGTGCTCGGCGACAGGGTCACGGAAGCGGCCAGAGGCCAGCACACGGGGGCCCTGGGAGGTCAGAGAGTGGACTCCAGGTGAGAAGAGAAACCACTGGAGGCTTCAGAGCAGAGGACTCACTTCCTGCTGCTCTTTTCTGGCTGCTGGGGGCAAGAGAGGAGGCGGAGGGAAGGCTGTGGAAAGGGGGAATGTTGTAAGCAGGGCCCCAGTGGCGGCGTCTGAAGGGGCGCCTAGGACGGGGTGCCCCGGGATCGGCCAGGTCCGAGTGTGGTCAGCATGGGGCAAGGAGGGAAGAATCGGGGGCGCATCTGTGGGACCGGTTTGGGGCGAGCCAAGGAGAGGGTGGCTCCGGAGAAACACCTCTGGGGCCACATCACTGCCCTAAAACATCTCTTCCTCAGTAATAACCCTGGCGACCTGCATCCGAGGATTTAACGGGCCGATCTGTTTTCCTGTAAGTCAGTGCCACGTACTTCGCAGAAAGAGAATGGGAATTAGAGTCGGATCCGCAACTTTGCCACCGACTGCAGCACCTGTCAAACGGGACGATTAATAGCAACACCTGGCCGGGTTACCGGGAAGATGCAATAATGAGTAAAGTGCCTTTGTACTTCTTACCAATATGCTCTCTCAACAGCCTTGTTACTGAGATTCTCGCCAAGGACCCCAAGGAGCTTGGGAGGGACATTCGGAAGAAAGGTCGACACAGAGAAGAACAATCCTGGCAAGAAACCCAAGTTCACCTCGGGGACGCCATTCCTCTGCTCACTGGGGTCGAAGTCACGTCAGTACGTCTCACATGTCCACCAACTGTGAGTGCCGCAGATGAGAGGTGGGTCTGTTTGTTTAATGCGGCTTCTGAGAAAGGGAAGGGACATGGAAGGGACCACCCACTGCTGTACCTCGGCACCCCCCGCCTGAGACCCAGCCCTCCCCCACGGCAATCTTTCTAGACGTCCTCCGCTGGACGTCTCTGAAGCTTCTCAAATTTATCGTGCCCCCCATTGAATTAATCAGTATCCTTGTAATTCTCCAAGCAAACGAGGCCTTCCTTCTCCCAAGCCCCATCTGGACGAGGGGCCCTGGACCCGCTCAAGCCACGTCCATGACTTCCTCCCTTGTTTTCCATCTGTTGCTCAGGACCCCATTCTTTGCAGCCCATCTCCTCAACATGGCTTGGAAATGTATTTGCTTCTTCTCCACGGTACTGCCTTAGTTCACAGATCCTTCTTTTTTCACCTGGATTCCTGCAACCTGCTTAGCGTCTCTCTCTGCTTCCTAGCTCCCCTATGGCCAACCCATTCTCTACCTCGCTAGCAAAGTGGTATTTTTAAAAACACAAACTACATCTCATTATTTCCCTCTAAAAACCTCTCAAAGGCTTCCTACTGCCCTCGAAATCCAGTCCAAACTCCTCAGCATGGCTACCTTCCTGCTTTCGTCTCTTCCCAGAGTCCTGACCTACATAGTCCTTCAGAACTAGTCACACACACCTACCTGCCATTGCCACCACTGTGACAGCCTGTGTCCTTGAAGACTCGGGTCAGAGACGCTTTCCTGCCCCCAGTAGGAGCTGCTGAACCCCCTGGGGTTCCCCGTTACCACAGCACCTCCCTTGTAAGTACAGTGTTTATGCTAGAGCTCCTTGAAGGAAAAAGGACCACATCCTGGTGTCCCCAGTGCCAACATGGTAATGGGCACAAAGAAGGTTCCTAATACCAGCTGAGGGGGGATTAGTGAGCACCCGACCCGTGATGTGGTCCGTCTGGTTTTTCACTTCTCCTCCCCACCCCCACCCCGGACCAAGGAAGTAAGGTCAGTTAGTTCAGTTGAATCATACATAAAACTCCTTCCACTTTTGAGTTTTTAATTACTACGCAATGCCCTAAGGACTGAGAACTGGAATGAAAACTGATAGGGCAGATATGAAAGCGGAGCAGCATGCCAACAGGACACGGAGACCAGGAAGGCGGCCAGGAAAGGCAGCAGGGGAGGATGGACAAAGCAGCGTTCCAGCAAACATGAGGACAGCCGTGTGTCGATGCAGTCCCTGGGGACTGGGGCTCTCTGGAGACGGTGCTGCTGTGTCTGAGTTCAGAAACGTAACGTGTCGTTATTAAAGATAAATAACCAAAAAAAAAAAAAAAGATAAATAACCTCTAGCTAACCTAGCTAAAATGTCAGCTAGTCAGAGCTTAGAAAAGTATCCACCAACACAGTCAAGCCACAAAGTTTTTCCATGTGACCTCATTCACCAACAAATGAATAAATCAACAAATTAAGGCCACAGGTCGAAAACTCCGGATCTAGAAACATATTCCAAGAACCTTATTTCTTCATACCGTGGTTGTCTTAAGAACTGTGATTGTGTGCCAGGAGTGGGGGCAGGGAGGAGACCAACACGAGTGCTCCAGAGAGTAAGGAAAGATTTTCTTCCCCTTCTTTATCCTGAAGTCTGGTACAGTTTTGATCCTGCTTCCAAAAAGTATCTCAATTTTCTCAACTTTCAGTATAATTATCAAAGGTGAGATACCAGAGTCGTTCATTACACTGTAATAATGATTACAGGGTTTTGTTAGGTTCTGTTCCCCCTTCAAATGTCTTGTTTTTATTTTCAAATATGCATAGAATTATAATTTTCACCTGCTAATGGAACTGTTCTGCTTCAAAGCTATAGCAATAAACTATCCTACGGATTGTTCTATCCTTGAACTTATCATAAATGACTGAACTAGAAACGGTATCTCAGAGAAACTGGATTTGGAGCTTATCGCAGAATTCAGGTTGACAGAGCGATAAAGAACCACCAGACCCACCACCAACACCCCCTTTCCTCGACTATTAATCTAAAGTAAACTTGTTTCATCTCAAGAGCACAGGAGAAAAATAGAATTTCACAAAGACACCTTGCATGGTCATCAGGCCTGGATCCAGCCCAGCGTCCCCGCCCCTCAGGATTTGTCACCGTGAAGGGCGACTCCCCGACAGAGGACTCCCTTTTTGGGAGCTTCTCGTTACTTGGGCATTTTCCCTTATGCTGATTAGAAATCTACCAACAGGAATGCAGCAGAGGGAAATGGCTGAAAGCGCCCGATCTTAAGCCCGGGCTCAGCCACTGACTAGTGGGAGCTCCTGGTCATTATCTCCCTGTGGTTCTTCGCCAGTGCGCTGGGGATGATCAGAGGGCTGCCCCTCACCCCCGGGGTTTGGAGGAGGAATGCATACAGCAAGGGGAGCTTCTAGCAGCAAGTGGTTAGCCAACACTAAGTGCTCTTATTACCTCCACACCACCGCCTTACTTCCACCCTTTGGGGGCTTTGGAGAACAAGGCTAACCCTCCTTCCAGAGGGCAACCTTCTGAATATTTGGAAGCCACCGCCATGTTTCTGTTTCCTCCCCTCGTTGTTAAAGTGACTCGCTACCTCCTCTTTCAATAGTCCTTGCACGGCCCATGTCCATCACTTTACCGCTCCGCCAGGCTTGCGCAGAGGACTGTGGGTGAGAAACATCTCGGTTCAAGTCGTAGCTTTTCCACTCCCCAGCTACTGACCTCAGCCCAACCACTCCACTGACATAACCCTTTCCTTCCTCACTTAAATCGGTATATTAGCAATCCCTGCATGGTATGAAGTATTAAAACACACATACAGCCCACATTTAACACAACGCCCAGCACACGGCGAGTTGCTTGCTCAGTAAACAGGAGTTCCCTCTTCCTTGTGAACCTGTTCTGTACATACCCCAACTCTCCAGGGACTCTTGCCAAGGACACAGAACTGAATCATGTTCTGGACATCTCTGAGTGTGGTTTTTTTATTGAGTGAGAGCATCTCACTGCTGCTTCGCACTGTGGTCAACTCAGGCTCGAAGCCGACTTGCACGACTGCACTCAAGGGCGGGCTCCCTAAGCATA